CACAAAAACTGTGAAGTTTTGAACAAAACTTCGAGAATTTAAGCGGCTGCCTCTAAGGCCACTAAAGTCTTTCTTTTTGAGGTATCCCTGCCATACACACTTGTAGTTTTAATTATCGTCAGAATAATAAGCCATATTTAGTCCTTTCAATGCTTCTATTTTCAGGGACAACTTTCATGAGACAGTTCAGCAACAACGGAAACATGTTTGGCTGCCTCACTAATGTGTATATGTAAAATGGTTCATGCAACAATCGCAGACGTTGATAGCTTCCAAAAACACCCATTAATATTACTCTTCGTTCACTGGCAGACGCAGAAAAAATAAAGGAAAGAAATAGCTTTCCCCTTTTAACTCGCTGTTAGAGCAAGCCGCAACGTGATCGGACGCTAATTGTATACCGCTAGAGTTCGGCTATTCTCGTCTTTGATTGAGCACGAACCAACACAAATGCTTGGCGATGCTGGTTGTCATGAGCCCGAGCACTCGACGCGGGCTCATGACAGTCGAGTACGTCCCAGTGTCACGTGACTCGCGGTGAAAGTTCGTGATAGCATGTGGCGTCACAGTGTCAACAACGCTAATACTTTGAAGTCGACTTGATACGTCATAGTGCCAAATCGACTTAAACTGAGTACGTCATTAAAGTCTGTTGCAACTCAAGAAGGTAGGGCGAGGGAAAGGAAGGCCGGGTAGGAGGAAACAGGCGGAAAGCTGGAGATGAGACGGGGAACCTCGCTTTCTCTCCAACGTTTCGTCTGCTTCCTCCTCCCCGGCCTTCCTTTGTCTCGCCCAACCTTCATGAGTTGCATCAAACTATAATGACATTATCAATGTAAGTAGAACTTGATGCGGTGAGTCACGCGACTACGCCACAAGGCCACGTGACATGGCATTATTTGACAGCATATCTTGACACCATGACGTCACGTGACCACGCGACACATTACTAATTGTAATGCCAATACAAAAGCGCCACGAAAATCCACAATTTTTGAAACATTGCACTGGAGTATATGACAATTTGATCACTATATAGAAATAGAGCTGCCAATTTTCGCTTCTAGAACACTCATTTTGTAAGAAAGAAAAATTAGCGTGAACGGTTTCGAACCGGTTACCGTTATATTTTTTACGGTTCAGTTCCGGTTCAGCTTCAAGATGGCGGCGAAGATTTCGGTTCGGGTTCAGTTCCGGTTCGGCTAAGAATAACGGTTCGGTTCCGGTTTTCCGTTCGGTTCGGTTCCGTTTCGACACTCTGCCTTCAACACAATAATAAAGAAAGTGAATTACTCAAAAAATAAATAATAACTTAATTATCCCAAACTTTAATATTTTCCTAAATGGGCCTCTGACCCAGTACAAAAAAGACGACAGGCTTTTTTTTTTTTTTTTTGCGACGCGTACTTTTCGCAATATCGAATTTGTCAACTTTTCGTAAAACACCCTACAATATACTTTATTTTCTTATTAAAATTCCCAATATTAGTTCTCTTGTTTCAGTTTCATGGCAGTTTACTTGAAGTGTCGCACTATTTTAGCTATCTGAATGGTACTGTCTTAAACTTTTATTGCATAACTGAACATATGAAAGGGAATTTTTTTAATGACATGTGCGGTTGTTATTAGTATTATTTTCAATTTATGCGTTTCATATTTATTGCCGTTAGTTGAGAATATTCATGGCCACTGCGCCAAATGTTGTTCAAGTTACTTGATACGTTCCGCTTGTTTTGTCTAGCTTTATTTATGCTATATCGCATGAATATTTTTGTATATTATGCTTCACTGTAGGGGCAGAGGCTCTGTCAGGCCTTACGCCTTTACCTCTGCCACCTACGTAAAAATATATCCGCATTTGAAAAAAAAAGTTAAATACGTTTACATTTTTTGTGTAAAGCCGAATTAGAGCGCATCTCTTGAGGAGGAAGAGGGGAGGGTACGGAGGGGAGGGTATGCCCTTCTTCCTTCCCGCCAAATTTAGTGGTAAAATGTTACCCTCGTCACTTCACACCTGACATCACGTTCGATGTCACACGTGTCAGACGTCACGTCACGAGGGTAAAGTTAGCAGAAATATTTTTCCGCCATATTTAGCGGAAAAAATTCCCGCTAAATTCAGTGGGAATATTAGCAATCTTAGATACGTGTGACGTCAGGTGACGTCATACGCCACGTGTTTTATATAATGACGTCGCATGTGACGTCTCGTGTGACGTCACGAGGGCAACTCTCGAGAGGGCGACCTTGAGACCCTCGTGAGGGCAAGAAGGTTATAAGTACTAGGAGGGGGCACGTTGCAATATTGGTGAAGCCTAGTCATAAAAAGCTTGAAGGCCGACGACCGTACACCAGATTCTGCAACGCAGAAGATCCTCCTCAACCTAGAGGAGGAGGAAACAGACAACGGTGGACAGGGTAGAAGGGGGAGAGGAGGAATCGGGGGAAAAGTGGAAAGCGCGAACTGGTCGTCGGCCTTTAAGCGATATTGTCACGGGTGGTGACCAGAAAAAAAAATAATCAGGAAAAAATAAAAGTTTAATGTGGCGAACTTGTGCCAAAAATAAAAGCATACAAACGATAATAACAGAGCGTCGCGGGCGTCGAAGTCGGCGTAGCAGCAGAGTCGAACACTGGTGCGAAACTGACTCCGCTCGCCTTGCGGAATCCCTTATGTACCCTCGTGGGTTTCTGGATCGTTCGGCGTAGAAGGTTCGGCGCGTAGAGCATTCTAACCTCGAATCAGCAAGACGGTTCTCGAATTCACCAGAACATCACATTACAGTGTCAACAAAAACGTGTAGCCGCGGCCAGGAATCGAACCGTGGAAGGCAAGCGCGATAACCGTTATGCCACGCGCGCGCTGCCTACTTGGCCAGCTGCGCGCGCGGCAATATTGTGCCCAACGTGACCGCAGATCTCTCTGGCGATGGGTGTGCGTTACATGTCACGTGCGAGATGTATGGTTGATTGTAGAAGGATTCCTTGCAGGCTTGCGCGCGCTCCGTCTGGTAGGTTTTATCAGATCGAGGGCTAGCTACGGTCACGTGATGTGGTCATGTTGGGCTGATAAGTGAGGAGAGTAAGGAGGAAAAGGAGGAAGAGGCGAGGCGTCAAGGTAGCATGGCTTGTGGAGGCTACACTGCTGACGCCCATAGAGTTAGCACAATAAACACTAGAGGCTCAGCTGGCGCTAGTGTCTACGGGACTTCCGGTTGCAAATTGAAGCAGGCAGCATGCAGCCTACATTTCCAGCCGCCCTGTGTATTCGTATGGGAAAACGAGTGTGAACTATGTCTTTTCGCCGGAAAAAAACATGAATAATTTTTGTCATTTCAGTTGTACCGGATAGTATGTACCTTTATTGGTAAAGTGAAAGTGTAATTGCTTTAGTTACAGCATTTTTCTCTACCACTGAACGATGTTTAACTTCGTTGTATTTCAAGCCCAACCCTCTGTTTCAAGGAAGGTATGTGAAAACGACCGACGATTCTAAGCAACTAACGATCGAAAGGAATGTAGAGTGTGTTCAAGGTTTGCTAGCATTTCGGTGGTGCTTATATATTGCTAATATGCCCGTCCTGTCATTCGACGAAAATGACTCCGTCGTGCATCTTTACGATCGGTTAAAGAAACATTCGAACGCAAACAATAAAGTACGTGAGTTACGAAAGGTGTCGTTTTATTATTTTCTATGTCGGGCAGTTTTTATCGGGCACCTAATCTCTGGCTCCCCCTATTTGCAAAGATTTGGAGCGTGCGGGTGATGATTTGAACCCAGAACAAGCATCTTCGCACATATTCATGAGCAGAACGAATAAAGCAATACTTATTTGTTGCAAATCTAACTATATTACGTGGCTTTCAATTTATTTTGATCGTCTGCGTGCACAAGGAGTTACTTATCTAGTGTTACTGCGTAGTTCTTGCCGTCTCTCTTGGTTTTAAACATGTCCTTCGATCGTTTGGCACGTATATCCCCCATGCTGGAAGGCGTCGACGCCGTGTTCGCGCTAACAGTGTCCTACAGTGCACATAAATACAGGTACGAAGCGGTTTTAACGGCGTTTTTCATTCCACGAATTTCGAATAAAAATACTGTAACTGACCAATTATTTCGTCTGCGTGACTGAGAAATGTTACAATGTGCCTAGTACGTACAAATTATTAATGATATCTGCTGTTATAATCGAGCGCAGAGAGAAAACGCACTCGCTTTTTCCCTTAGAAATGCATTACCGGAGGTCAATTTCTGACTGCTTGCTGTCTGCTTCAAAATGCAGCAGCACACTAGCGCCAGCTGAGCCTCTAGCGTTTATTGTAATAACTCTATGCTGACGTCATGCCCGCTCCTACCCTTCTATCCTCCTTGCGTGAGGGTGACCTTCGTGAGGGTAACCCTCCGCCTATGAAAATGGTTAATGCCATATGAAAGTCATATTATTGCCAAATGGCAACAGCTGTTTACAAGTAGTCAATTAGCAGGCAGCAGATGTTATTCGTCATTGAGACGTCACCCTGCTGACCCGGATAGCCATTTCGCCACCGTCAACTTTTTGCCATTTTATTGGTTATTGTCGGTGTATCACCAGTGTATCTACATGTTAATTCTAAATGGCTAAAGGAGGCAATCAAAGGACTATACATTTTATAGTCTTTTGACTGCCTCCAATAGCCAATTAGCATTAGCATGTAGATACACTGGCAATGCACCGACAATAACCAATAGAACGGCAAAAAGTTGATGGTGGCGAAATGGCTATCCGGGTCAACAGGATGACATCTCAATTACGATTAACATCTGTTGCCTGCTGATTGACTGCTTGTAAACACCTGTTGCCATTTGGCAATAATACAAAATGGCATTAACCATTTTTATAAGGGCATAATTATCACATAGACATCATTTGATCGACCTTGGTGACCATTTCGCCACTGTCATCCCCTTGTAAACTTTCAGCTGGCCAGCCGAAAAACTGCAATAGTTTACATGGCCTATCATTGATTTCATGCCTGATACACATAGTGCCGGCTCGCAATATTGGAAGAAAACAGATTGAAGACAAAGATTGAAGAACAATTTAAAGAACCAAAATTTATTTTTCACAATATCATTAAAATGACTAGTGCTTTTTTCAATAGACTGAGTTAATCGCCCAAATGTAAACAATGAGTGAAAAAATTACCTTTCCTTGCTTCCTGACATGACTGTAAGGTGTAAGCTGAAAGAAGAAAAACATTATAAATTAGGTGGGCATATAACCAGAAATATTCTCGCAGCACATTCAATAATATGCACAGAAGAACCTTGCTCACATATTTCCTCGGCTGTTATGTTAACGGACACCGGTTCTAACGGACGTCCAAAAGTATATATCTGTTAGAATTACAGGCTTCATGAATTTCCTTCCTGGTTCTTATGCCCAAACACTGCCACTCAAGGTGGCCAGTATGACTACTAGGAACACATACCCTTTTGCTTTACTTACTCCCTTTATTTCACCTCCTTGCCTCTCTGCACTGTGTTTCTTTTTTGGTCCTGTATGACGCTAAGAGATTCAGTGTCTCACACATCCTATTTTGCTTTACCACCTCCATGGCCACCATGTTCAAGAAGTGATGATTGCATCAAGCTCCACTGCTTTGATCTGGCATGCAGGGTGCAGTGATTTGTTTGAGGCAGCTGCGGTTTAGCTCGATGGGCTCAGAATTTTTGCATCCTTATATTTCAATATTTTTTTAACTGCAACTATAGACAACGCATCACTGCGATGGCGCGGCTGTCGGCACAGGACATGTGCAGACATGTCTGCTCACACGAATCTAGTTCCTGCGTATGCAGTGCCCATAGCTGCTGTGGGCAAATACAAGCTTGTCTGCAAACAGTGTGTTACTTATAGTTCAACCCCAATTTTAAGAAGTGTTGAAAAAATTGTCAACATATAAAATAAGGCCATCTTTTTTACAGCCACAAAAGCTAAGGTGAAATAGAGAATATAGGTTCCTGAAATATCTATAGCTATCCCAAGGGCATTATCAGTTGTTACATCTTTGCTCATGCCATGATCCTTTATTGTGACTTCATTAAGATGCAGCAGCAGGGTTCTACTGTATTTCACACAATGTTTGAATGTGCAATAGCTTTACCTTCCACAACACATCAGCCAACCACAGGTTGTCAAAATGCGAACTCCACAATAATGCAATAAGTATGAATACAATAATAATCCCTGGAAAAGGGGTACAAGGGAGAGAAAGGACAAAGAGGAATCTCCTTTGTCCCCCTTGTTCCCCATCTCCAGTGATTATTATCGTCATTCTTCTCTTGAATAAAAGGGTGTACTTGTGTTTCTTAAGAGAGGGAAGCAGCTTACCTGAAAGAGCATAGTGCCCCCGGGACAGAAATCGAGAAAGGCTGTCTTTGACTTGCTTCCCCAGATTGCCGCACTCCGTGAAGGTGCGAGCTGAAAGAGCAAATGAGATTTGCAATTTAAAATGATAATAGCCCCTAGAAAGCGACACTCAAGTATTGGTACCCTTTTCCTCATTGTCCAGTTCTGCCAAAACGGTCATTCATCCATTTGGATGATGAAATTCGTTCACACGCATGCAGCTTGTGGGCACTGCCATGTTGTTATTACGTCGTTACTTAAATTGAATGTAAATATTCACTTCACACTAGACAAAGACTTATGTATTACTTTTGATAATATCTTTAGATGCATGGCAATCTTAACAGCAGCCTGGGGGGTGCACTCATAGATGCACCACTCTTCAGTCGGTTTGGGGAGTGCGTCTTTAAACGCTCACTCTTTTCATCATACGGGAGGAAGCACCATCTATCCCCTAACATCGGAAATAATTTTCCTTTAAAAATTAAAGCTATGACGGTAGCACAAGAAAAGTTTCGTACAAAAAATATAAACAAAATAGGGACAACAAAAAAAAATTTTTTCGTCATGGATCCCCAGTCAAGAAGTTAAGAAATAGATTGATCTTGTGTGCTAAAATGTTTTTCAAAGCAAAAACATGCCAGGACTATAGTAAAGATTTCTTGACGATCGCGGGGGCCTGCGCTGGCTGGAGGGTGGCTTCTTTCCGGTGGTTTCGGTGACGCTCACGACTCGGTGATTGAGTAGATAAATACATATTTACAGATTATGAACAACTTTTTACAAAACACAACAGGAAAACGTCGCGCTGCTGATGCCGCTCGCGGCAACCCAACGCCGACAATAGCGCCTCGGCGCCAAGTCCCTTGCCGCGCAAGGCAAGGTCTCTGTCTCGCGAGACAGAATACGCGGAGCCCTCGGGACCGCGGGAGAATAACGTCTTGCTCCGCGCACGGGCTCGTTCAGACTCAACTTTTCGAACAAGGCGCCCGAAGTCGCCGACATGGCCCTGACAAGGTCGCCTCCCCAATTACCACGGTGGCAAGGGCGACCACCCACTCCCGCCTGGAGAACGAAGGTTTTGTTCACTTCCCACGCGGGGAAATCTGCTTCCACTTTCGGGAGCTGGCCGCCGCTTGCCGCCAAAGAGAAAAACGTGAGACATCAAGCACCTCCGAATGACGCTTCGGGTGACCTCGCCGCCAACTCCCCGAGCTCTTTCGGTTAAACCCTTCCGGCCATCCCTACAACTATGTTATGAAGTGTATATCTCTTTTTACTGTGGTCATAATGAGGTGGCGTAGGCTTTGTCATTTGCCCAATAATGCTCAACAAACACAAAACTAAAACAAAAATTCTCGCAGACCAAGAGCCATTACTACATGCAGTACAAGTTTTGAGTGTAAACATTTCGGCAGAGGCCTGCCTGGTCGGGAGAAAGCTTAAAAACTCAAATATATCCGTCTACACACCCGCATCTGTGTTCCCTACATAAAGGGGACTAGCGAAGCGCTGTCATGTACGCGGGTAAAAGAAAGTATTCAGATGTCCCACAAACCGCTATCAACACTTTGACGTATGATGCTGCGAATTAAAGGTCGTCCCTCTAGACAAAAAGCGAAGGGCATTGTATATTCAATTCCATGCCACCTACATTAGAAAAACAAAGAACTTCCCAGAAAGAATTCAACAACACAAAAACAATGTCTGCAAATTCGACCACGAGTGCAGCGATGTTGAAGAGCACTGTGAGGACAATGAACATCGCATCGACTTCGCAAACACCCTCATAAATGTTGAGACAAACTTCTGCCAGCAGCTTTTTATAGTCACGGCATATCCAAACAACACCAGGAAACATCAATAGGTCCACTGGCACATTGCCATCATGCTACGTGAACAAACTAAGCCACCTAACAAAGTGAAAAAAGAGACCATCGTAGAAGAAAACGAAGCTGTTGTCCCCTATCTGGAAGCAGTCACCCCTGAAGAAAAAAGCAAGCTGTTTTTGAAACTTTGGGACCTTGTTGTAGGATGTGGTTGGTGATTTTTTTTCAAATTCCTATGTATGAGTTCTGCACTTGTTTGAGTCACCATTCACTTTTTTACCATACTTACCTGCATAATGAACATACCTTTTACGATAATGAAAGAGGGACATTGTTCTTTCAATGTAGGTGTCATGGAATTGAATATACAATGCACTGCGCTCTTTATTCTGAAATTGACATATATTTGGGGGGTGCGTTCATTATGCAGGGTATATTTCTGCATTTACACACTTCGCAAATTGTAATTTTAGGTGGCAGTATGACCCGGCAAAGTACTGTGGAATGTCTCCACTGACGGAGGCGCATTGACGGCTGGTCGTGGGCACGCTACAATAACCATGTTTTATAATTTGAAAACCTTTTTTAGGGCGCTTTCAGTGTGCCTTCCGTCAAAGGAAAAGCGCCCTTCTAGTAAATAGTAAAAAAATCTTGGATGTGTGAGAAATTTATATGTCCAATAAAAGGATAGGACCAAATAAGATCGTATAAAACCTTATAAAAACATATAAGTACAGTATAGGAAATATATAAGATGATATAAGAAGTTTTAAGAAACTGAAAAGAAGTTTCTTATAACTTCAAATATAATTTTATATTGTTCTTCAATGTTTTTATAAGGTTCTTGTATTTTCTTATATGATCTTATTGGATCATATGCGCTTGTTGGACATCAAATTTTCTTATACATTTAAGATTTTTTTATTATGGAAGCTCACTCAGCAGGAAAGTGATGCAACCGTCCTTTGGCCTAACCACTTTCACGATTTCACTGTTCGAAAGCGCACCACAGATGACCGCCTGTTTGTTGACATCAATGCATTCGGTAGGCGAAACGTGTCCAAAGCTTGGCGATTCCTCGACCCCAGCTTTGTTACGTGTATGCGCCGCTCGGTTTCACTCTTGATCACATCTGCAACTACACACTTGCAGCCATGAAAGCATGTACTGCTATCCTTTGCCTGGTTTGACGTGACCTGGCTGCTTGGCGGCGAAAGAAAATTGACTTGGTGGCTAGCCAAGTTGGAAGTAGTTTGAGACTCATGAAGCGAGTAGACACGGTAAACAAAAACATTCTAAAAACTTCACAGGTGTTCCTCAAGCTTTGAGTAATGTGACCTATTTAAAGCTCAAGTAATTCACATTCACCTCTAAGCTGACTGCGGTGGTAACTACGCACCCACCGGATCATTCAACCACCTCCCTCTCGTTACCTGACCCGGCCTTCTGCACATGGTTATGGGAGGGAGTGTAACACATGGGGAAAGGTAGACATATGACTGGTCCAACGAGCATGTAGCTTCTACCACGCTTTCAGCTGGTCATTCAACAGAGTATAGCGATGCTGTACAAAAAAATGTGTGCCATTTCAGAATGTCTGAAGGAGAACACACCTTCAAACATCCTGAAACTGTAGAGAGTTTCCTGCAAAGCCACTCGATTTGATTGGCCAAGCAGTAAATAAAAGATACTCACCAAAGCACTGTGTCGCCCATGATAAGCCTGCGGCTCCCTTCAGTAATTAGCAAACAACCAAAAAGCCACAGGAATGTAACACTGGATCCTGAAACAGAAAACAGAACAGCAAAATGCAGGAATTAACACAATATACAAACCGCCTCAGCGAGTGACACTAAAAACTAGCTACAGTTCTTTGGGCACCATCTTTTTGTTACAGATAATTGTGAGTGAGGACGTGCTGTCATTATTTTTCTGGCCCTGTAAACCTCTCCCAAGTCGAAGGTCTCCGACGTCGGTTTTGCAAACTTCATAAAATCTGCCATTGCTCCATTATCAAGTTCTAGAGTAAGTGACAAGTTAAAATTTCAATGGTGGAGGCTCACAGACATTAAGCACCTGCTTCAAGCCCCTCGGCTGTCGAGAAAACACTATGTCAACCGCTCCGAAACATAGGCTTTGTGCAGAAGAGAGAGTGAAGTATGCTACTGACTCAGTAGAACTACATCAAATTCATAAACCATTGTTAGCCGATTCAGTATGCGACTCATCGTGATGACGAGACTTGGACTTGGCCAGGGCAATATGTTTTACAGAGAAATGTTTACCGATTTGACGGACGGTGTCATTTTATTAAGCAGGCTTATATATTTGCTCTTTATGAAGCAGATAAGAGCAGTGAAGTGGAGCAAAACACAAATAGTGCTATGGACAACGGCAAGTCGAAGAAGTGATAGGACAAGCGCTACTTGTGGTGCTTCAACTTGTCCTCGTACTGCCATTTGTGTATCACTATTGTTTAAGCAACTTGTCAAGCAGTTAAATTTAGTACCAGTGAAGCGGCTTGTCAGTGGCCTTGTCACTAAAGCAGGGAACATGCAGACAACAAACCACTTTGATGGTGATGACCACAACATTTTCATGTCATCTCAGAAATATCACCCCCCCCCCAAAAAAAAAATAGCTGATTCTGCACTTATGTTGCAGAATGTGTGCATCGTCTGACGGCACAGACTGGAGGGACATACTGCAGTTCTCTTCGTGCGTTACACTCCCAGTTTCAATGCGGTGACCAATAAATGTTTCGGTGATGCAAAAAAAAATGAAAAAAAGACATTGCTTTGAATATTTTGTTGTTTCCCTTATTTAACTTATCAAAACAAATTTCCCGTTAATTGGACCTCAAGATAAACGTGACACGCCGACCTATTAAGGATAACAGCAATCCAGTCCTTGTCAAATTAACTGAGGGCAATAAAGAAAGAAACAACGAGGTCATGCAATAGTTGTATAGGGCAGTGGCAACAGTCCCACGAAGATATGCTTCAGTTTTTGCAGTATCATTGATTTCCTCATTAGACAAGTGTTATCAGCTTTGGCTACTGCTCATGCATCACATTTTAGTGTGAAGCAAACTGTACGATGGCATGTTTTCTTCATGACATGCCAACCTTTTGCTAAGTTCCCAATAATCCCGAATAACACAAAAAAATTGCAAATAAAAGAAGCAGTTAGATCAATAGGTCCCACAAATCTATGTGAAACGAGCACTCTAGATCAGTGCATGCAGGGTGACTCCATGTGGGACTGTATAGGAGCTTTACAACCACCCCAATAGCTTGTTAAACCAAACCCAATTATCCTCTGCTAAATGTGTGAGCCACATGGTCTTGGTAGACAGTTCAAATTCCCCACTTACCCCGCTTATAAGTCCTAGAGTTGTATTCATACTGCTTGCGTTTGCTTTGGCATCCAACACCCCCCATTTTCTCCCACACTAGGTGGCAGAAACACTGTTCTTATTCTGCATGTGGCTGATTATGAAAAGCCTTTTGGCTTTTCAATTTAAGTAAATGCACATATTGAAAAGGAGCTTATTGCCTAATCAGGTCTATGAGAACATTTTGAAGTGTGGGATATATGAAGTTTGCTAGACCTATGGTGGACAATATTTACCCTCCAAATCAAAGCAGCACCAAATGTGTCGACCATGAACCCATGACAACTACAGATGAGACTAATGACAAATGCATAAAGCATATGATAATTACAGAACGACCCGATACTATGACCCAGAAAGTTGAACAAGCTTACGTGAACACGCTTACAAAAAGAGATCTGGAATGCCAAAGAATCAATGGAAATAAAAATAGGAAGACTTGACTGATCCTTTTTGAAGTCCCGATCATGGTATCGACAGCATGCATCGATGCTTTCAATCATGCTCTGCGGTGTGGCCACAAAAGACACTTCAGTGAAGCTCCCAATCATTATGCTCTTAGGTAGAAAAAAGGCTCACTTCAAACAGCTTTCAGCAATAAAAAAAAGCATGCCAGATACTAATATCACATGGTTTCCCCAAAAATAAAACATATAAACCTCCAACACCTTTAGGGGCTAAGGAAACAACCAAGAACGCACAAGAATAAAGCACCTCATCCCAAAGTGAATGGAACGCCAAGGTGCAAGTCTGAATGCAAAACAAACCGCTCTTCTAAGCAACTAACACTACCTACAATTTCTTGGACACCTTCCTGGTAAACTAAGAGCTAGAATATTAATTATAATTACATGTGCTGCATCGCCTTCAGGATTGCTGGATGATGTGTAACTCTGGGAGCTCTTCAAGATTAAAGTGAGCAGAAATATTTTACTTGGCCTGAAAATGTCTCATACTTTGTATCTTCTTTAGAGTTAAGCAATAACACCGTAGCTATCTACTAACACATTACGCCTAGAAAGTATCACCTACATAAGACAAGAATGATTCAGACATTACCTATTGTTAGCGCCATTTTGTAAAAGAGACTTGCACAGTCTGCTCAATTTCCATGTGGCACACCCATGAGTTCTTTTGCCGGGCAGATGTGCCAGACGCACATTAAATCTCTCACACCGGCCTCCATGTCCACAACAAGGCTCTAACATTTCAGAAGTGTGCTCACGTGGCCATGCCCCTCTGCAGATTGACTGCTGTGGTGACATGTAACTCAACAGCGGTGGACTACTCCTACTAGAATCTCAACATGGAAGGAACGAATTCCCAAGGGCTACGACAGAATGTGCGGAACTTGAACTGAACGGCTGTGGCAGCGGACCCTCTCCAAGTTCCAGCCGCCATTTCAACAGGGACGACGGGGAGCACAAGCTTTGTCAGTAGCGACGGTACCCCCATGAACCAAAGTCCGTGGAAGCACCTGCGACAAAGCCCTCGCATAATCCCTGTCACCACTTCGGCTGGGATCACAGGGAGCACAAATGATGGCGGTGGAGCCACCACGATCCAGAGCTACATGGCAGGACCTGCAGCAGCGAGGCCCCCACGAGTATACCACTTACCATCTTGAACGGGAACACGGGGAGCGCAAGCGTTGGAGATGACGACAGCGCCACCACCAAAAATGATGTGGCAGCACAGGAACCAGGTTCTGACAACAGGCGCTGACATCCGAGTCAACTCAGTGGCTGTCAAACCAAACAGACGTGACGCGTACCTGAGGAGGCAAATAATGTTTTGTAGTGACCGAAGTGGCCAAAAAGCTGCCAAGCGAAACTCAGCATTCAACTCTTATGATGAGCCAAACCGTTTCGACTATGATCGACATACGTCTGCGAATCGCTCTAAACTGCAGAAATGTGAAGGCTGCATCAATTTTAGTGGACATGGACAATTAATGGACAATTTTTGTGTGCAGGCAACAAGCTGCCAGCGAAAACAGTGATGAAAGCTGAAGTGAGTTACTCCAACACTGCTAAATAAATAGGACAGCTTACCATCAACTCCTATTGATATCTACCATTAAGCCTGTACCTCGGCACTGTAGGTGATGTCAGTGGTGTCGTCTCAGGGAACTCAAACTAGTAGTTCACTGAGCAACCCCTCCTTGACCAGGCCTGCAGCGATTATAAATGTGAAGAACAGATATATTATGTTACATAAATGACACAAGATAGAAAAGGCACAGACAATACCATACCTTCCAATTTTGGGGACACCGAATTCGGGATAATTTCTAATAGGGGAGGGAGGGGGGGGGGGGGTTAGCTGGTGTTTTAAAAAGAAATATTGACAACAAATTTGCCTGAAGAAAACTTCATTACATTTATATATTGCACTGCCTCTGCTCATGGGATTGCAGCCGTCCACTGTGATGGCAAAAATTCTTCTCCAAGTACAGAAGAGAGGGGGAGAATAATTTTTCTTTTTTGGGAGGTTTTTCTGTCAGTCATACAACTGATCCAAATTTAAGAGACTTCTGAGTAATACGGTGAAGTTGGCAGGTATTCAATACTAAACAGACACAATTTGCTACCGGCAATGGCAAACGAGAATGCAGGTTGGATCAGCTATGCATAAAGGTACTTTAAACAACATATACCCTCAGGGATGGGCAAAATACATGCAAATATGTATCAAAATACAATACAAAATACTTCGTCCAAAATGTATTTAATTACAAATCTAATTACATTTCCAAAAAAGAATTTAAGTACAATATACAAATACAACCAAATATATTTGGTCTCCTCCAAATACTTTTCCAAATACATTCCTCAAAATTGGCGTGAGCAACTTCAGGGCACCTGCAACGGGTTTCTGGGTAGCTCATTTTAATTTTGCATCGCACACTCGGGAGTTAGTGTGCGATGCAATGCACACTAACGATGCAATAGAAATAAAATCACAAAAAAATGTAATCAGCTTGGACGTAATAGGGGAAAAAAAAATGAAAGCCGCTTACAACTCCCTGTAACGCCGAATTAGAGCGCAGCTCTTGAGGAGGAGGAGGGAAGGGCACTGGGGGGGGGGGGGGGTTAAACTAACCTGGGGGGGGTCACGTTACCTTGGGGGTCACGTGACCCCCAATGCCGATGATGTCATCACTGACGTCACTGATGACGTCATCAGTGACGATGACGATGCGGGTACCGATGACGTCATTAGTGACGTCACTGATGACTTCACCAGTGATGATGACGATGACGATGCGAATGTCGGTGACGTCATCAGTGACGTCGCTGATGACGTCATCAGTGATGATGACGATGACGATGCGGATGCCGGTGACGACATCAGTGACGTCACTGATGACGTCATCAGTGATGATGACGATGACAATGCGGATGTCGGTGACGTCATCAGTGATGATGACGATGACGATGTGGATGCCGGTGACGTCATCAGGGATGATGACGATGACGATGTGGATGCCGGTGACGTCATCAGTGATGATGACGATGACGATGTGGATGCCGGTGACGTCATCAGTGATGATGACGATGACGATGCGGATGCCGGTGACGTCATCAGTGATGATGACGATGACGATGTGGATGCCGGTGACGTCATCAGTGATGATGACGATGACGATGTGGATGCCGGTGACGTCATCAGTGATGATGACGATGACGATGCGGATGCCGGTGACGTCATCAGTGATGACGATGACGATGTGGATGCCGGTGACGTCATCAGTGATGATGACGATGACGATGTAGATGCCGGTGACGTCATCAGTGATGATGACGATGACGATGTGGATGCCGGTGACGTCATCAGTGACGATGACGTCATCGGGGGGTCACGCGACATCGGCGGGGGTCACGTGACCTCGAGGAGGGGGCCACGTGACCTCAGGGGAGTCACGTGACTTCGGGGGGTCACGTGACCCCCCACGAGGTCACGTGACCTTGGTGGGGGGCTCGCGCGGTGCATTATGGGACATTTCCCATGATGCACCGCGCGGTTACGCCGACGCCGACGGCGACGGCGACGGCGACGCCGACGCCGACGCCGACGCCGACGGCGACGCCGCTCAAGCCGGAAACGGGCCCCTAAGAGCTGCGCTCTAAAATGAAAGCCGTTTACAACTCCCTGTAACGCCGAATTAGAGCGCAGCTCTTGAGGAGGAGGAGGGAAGGGTACTGGGGGGGGGGGGTCAAGTGACCTCGGGGGGCGGGGGGGTCACGTGACCTTGGGGGTCACGTGACCTTGTGGGAGTCACGTGACCTTGGGGCGTCACGTGACGTCGGGGGGTCACGTGACGATACCGATGACGTCATCAGTAGCGTCACTGATGACGCCATCAGTGATGATGATGACGATGCGGATGCCGGTGACGTCATCAGTGACGTCACTGATGACGTCATCAGTGACGATGACGATGACGATGCGGATGCCGGTGACGTCATCAGTGACGTCACTGATGACGTCATCAGTGGCTATGACGTCAACGGGGGGTCACGTGACCTCGGGGGGTATCCCCAGGTCACGTGACCCCAGGGGGGGTCACTTGACCTGGGTAACATCGTGACCCTCGTGAGGGTAACCCTAGTAACCCTTGTGAGGGCAACTCTCGTGACCCTCGTGAGGGTAACTCTCATGACCCTCGTGAGGGTAACTCTCGTGACCCTCGTGAGGGTAACTCTCATAACCCTCGTGACCCTCGTGAGGGTAACCCTCGTGAAGGTTACCCTCACGAGGGATACTAACCCTCGTAACCCTCGTGAGGGTTACGAGGGTAAGTAACCCTCGTGAGGGTAACTCTCATAACCCTCGTGACCCTCGTGAGGGTAACCCTCGTGAAGGTTACCCTCACGAGGGTTACTAACCCTCGTAACCCTCAAAAGGGTTACCTTCACGAGGGTTACCCTCACGAGGGTTACTAACCCTCGTAACCCTCGTGAGGGTTACAAGGGTAAGTAACCCTCGTGAGGGTAACCCTTGTGAAGGTAACCCTTCTGAGGGTAAAAACCCTCGTAACCCTCGTGAGGGTTACGAGGGTAAGTAACCCTCGTGGCCCTCGTGATCCTCGTGAGGGTAACCCTCATGAGATTAACCCTCGTAACCCTCGTAACCCTCACGAGGGTTACGAGGGTTGCGGTTACGCCGACGCCGACGCCGACGCCGACGCCGACGGCGACGCCGCTCAAGCCGGGAACGGGCCCCTAAGAGCTGCGCTCTAAAAGTACAGAGCTTCAAGCAGCTTTTTTTGTCGATTACATTTTGGTATAGACCGACAAAGAACCGAGACGACCAAGACGCGCAGCACTAGCTAGAGATTTTTTATTGTTGCAACTCGCACTAGTTACGAAAATTCGGACGACCCGCACATTTAGAATGCTCCAGGCAAAAATATGGATGGAAATCAAGCTGGAAAGCATCAGAAGTTGTCACAGGCACTTATTTTGCCAGTCTGCCTGTGAACGTCTGTTTCGTCACTATTCTTGCCCTGGACTAGCACCGTAATCACAAAGTCACTAAAGGCTCTGTTATACTCCGACGTAACGCGCGCGCAGGCGAACGCTGGCCGAAGTTGGCTACGTCTCGTCAGTCACGCCGCGCGCGTCAAAAATTCGCCCTCTTTATACTGCGGCGGTCCTGGCGACTCCCGCGGCTGTGCGTCGGTGGGCCACCGGCGTGGCGCATGCGCAGAATCTGACTACGAGGGCACGTTTCCTGTGAGAGTGCGCCACCTCCGGTTCCTTTTCATTTCGAATAGCAGACGAGAATGCTCGCGCTTCTTGAGCGCCAAGTTCGAGCGATGGCGTGGACGTACCTTGCCCGACGAAAACTCGCGCTTGCACTGTTGGTGCACCACCTGAGCCGCAAGCGTAGGCGGTCAATGTACATACGGTACATCTTTGACAAGCGCACGGTCTACGGTACTCAAGCTTCTTCGCGTCGTAGGCACACGGGTGAGGACGAGTTCGCTCGATGAGCTTCTCGACCGACCGAGTCCGATTCTTCAAACATGACGCCACACGGAGTGGTGCTCCTGTCGTCTGCTATTGCTCGTATTCGCCGCGCTTCCCGCGCGAGGGCTGCCGGGAGCCAGCGCGTGATGCATCCTGGTCTGGCGTCGCCGGCGCGGCCGCCGCGGAATACGGCATGCTCCATTTTGGCGTCGAGGCGGTCAGGCTGCGTCGAACGCCGCCGGTCGCGTCGGCTACGCCACGACGCCGGAGTATAGAGCGTCGGGTTTTCGCCGACGTGACGTCGCTGTGACGCGCTCGCACGCGCGCACCCGTTACGTCGGAGTATAACAGAGCCTTAAAGGCTTGTGCTTGATTGAGGGACACTGCATTCGGTGCAGAACGTAGTTTTCTTCCTGCTCTGGACAGTGACAATAAATTTGAGGGATGTATTTTTTCTCACAATATTGTATTTAATTACAATTGTATTTGAAATACCCACGTTTTAGTATTTAAATACACACGACAAATACATTACCCAGTTTGTAATGAAATACAAATGCAAAATACACAAAGTATTTGAACTCTGTATTTCAAATACCTGTTTTGAAATACTGCCCATCCCTGCATACCATATAGAGTGTACTCACTCAAGGCTAGCGAGCGGTGCACTCTGCGTACATCACCCTATTTGTGTTCGTGAAAGCAGACAGCGGAGTGCGCACAGCCTCACGGGCCACACTATGCAGCGAGTCTTTCTACGGTTCAGGTGACACCACGCATGAAAAAAATGTCGCTCTTGTGCAACAGTCTGGTGTTGCACAAGGAAAAAAGATGAAATGGAGAAAAAAAGACGAGGACAGCAGGCGTTGCAGACTCCCAGTTTTGAAATCCCGAGAGTCCGAACATGCGTGCAAAATGGTTTGGAAACTCCCCTTGAAACGAGAATGACTCACTTGCATCATCGGGCAAAGCCCACACAAAAATCATGACAAGTGGAGAGTATGTGAGCATGTTAGTGAAGTTGGTGAATGCACGTCTGTTTTGTGTGGGGCTTGTGACTTTTCACGTGGCAGCACCTCGGGCCACAGAAAATAGGCGTCGTGGAGTTGGGGCGACGCCCTGTCATAGCCCGACTTTCGATAGGGAGACGAAGCGCAGAGTTCCTGAGGAAGCAAGAATCGAGTAATCTGTGTGGG